CCAGGCTTCCTGGGCCACCTGTTTTGAGTTTCTTTTGGACGGATTCCAAGATGAGACTTCCGATCGGACCGTCCCATTCCGCTGTTTGAAGCTGCTTTTGTGTATGTTTGTTTTGTTTTATTTGGCTTTGGGGCTGACCCAGTGGTGCATGAGGAGAACTCAAAGCTCAGTGCTCAATGTTCATTCCTGACAGGTCTAGGTGTCCAATGTGATGCGGGAGGTCCAAAGGTTTCATCTTGGGTTTTCTGTTTTATTTGGGGTGGCAGAGCAAGGATTCTTGCAATCATTCCTTGCACTGCACTCTGGCATTGTCCCTGGCAGTGTTTGTGGGACCATATGGGATGTAGGGGATCGCCAGTCCTACATGCTGTCCCGGGAACAGCTATCCTGTTATGCCAACCTCCTGCTTCGGTTTCTTTTGCATTGTTTTTGTCATGAGCTGTCCTCTTGACTCTGGGCTCTGGATTCAAAACTTACTGGCCTCAGAGCACCCTGGGGTGTGCTGGCCCCATTTGCGCCCTGGCAACTACAGTGACTTGGGCCCCCAGACTTGCTTTTCTCCTGTTTTTTTCCTTCCTGCATTGGAGAGACTACCTGCTCAGTTATATAGTCTTACGTTCACATAATCTTGTGTTTGGATTTCTGGGCATGTGCCAATCCCAAGGAGAAAGAGCCAAGGATCTCTGAGGCCAGTGGCGATTTTGGGGTCCAGAAACTTCTCTACCTTCTTTGAGCGGGATTTGTGGTGGTCCTGAGCAGTGAGTTCCTACAGGCACATATGCCATGCACTGCTCTGAATAGTTGTCTATATGGACTGCCATATAGACAACTATTCAGTTGTCAGTGATTTTTGCTACACCCAGCGATAGACTTTTGGACCGTACAAGTCTGTGTTCAGGTGATTCTCTCTACAGTGCTCACTGTACCAGTGGTGCTCGAATTAGCCCTGGGGTTACCAGGAAAGTCAGATACATCCAAGAACCTTCTGTATAACGTCCTCCCACTTTAGCAGATTCAGCTGTTTTATGTGATTTCTGGGGTCCGTCAGTCATGTGTGTGCATGGAGGCTGGTTCATTCGGAGCAGAGAGGCCCAGCGACATATAGGACCCTGGGTCCTGGCATCACAGTAGTGGGAATGAGGCTAAGATAGACTCTGACTCCCACCCTCTCCATGTGCTGACTCAGGACACAGTGACCTTCCATGACGTGGCTGTGAACTTCACCCCGGAGGAATGGTCATGCCTGGAGGCCTCTCAGCGGAAGCTCTACAGGGACGTGATGCTGGAGACCTACCAGCATCTGCAGGCTGTTGGTGAGAGCAGTGTGGAACCAACCGTGTCTGAACAGACCCTCGTGGGCTCCCTTGGGTTGGGGGCAGCTGTGTTTCCAACAGTATCTCTGTGATGGGCTGTGATGTTGGACAGCCGTGCAGTAGCTGTTCCCTCCCTCGTTGTTTTTTTTTTTTTAGGGTTCACCTATGGATACTCAGGGCTTACATTCAGCCTTGTCCTCAGGAATTATATTTGTGGGGTCGACAGTTCCTATGGGGTGATTCATATCAACCCGTTTCAACTGTGTCCATGGGAAGATCCCTATCTGCCCAGTTATCGCTCAGTTCCCTTTAAATAGTTCCATCCATTGGTGCATCAATTTACTTTGTGTACTACACGAACTTTTGTGTATTTAATTGGTTTTGCTGTTGCCTGTGTTTGGGGGCACAGTCCACAGTTCTCCTGGCTCTGTGCTAAAGGATGACTCCTAAGAGTCTCAGGGGCCATGGGGTACCGTGGACTGAAACCTCTTGGCAACTTAAAATGTTGGTGCCTCACCCCCAGTACTTTTACACCAGTCACTCAAGTCAGATTGTTTTTGCATTTTCTTTTTTCCTTAGGGATTAGGTATTATTCCTGCCTGTGCATTCAGGATCCACACCTGGCCTTGCTCCAAGATCATATGGGCTGCCTGGGATCAAACTCACATGTGTGTGCAGTGCTTCTGTCCTATGTGCTGTACTATCTCTCCCACCACAGGGGATTTGATATCTCGTCTCTCAACTCATTAGACGCTGCCCTATTTCAGTCCTTGGATTTACTTCTAATGGTTCTTGTGAGACTTCAGCAGGACTTGGGATTTGCTCCTGGACTCTGCACTCAGGGATCAATCCTGGCTGCCATGAGGGACCCTAGATGATATCGGGTATCACAACTGGATTGGCCGTGAGAAACTACTGCTGTGCTCTGTTTCTGATACATTTTTCAGCTTAAAAAAATAAGGGTCTCTTGCCACCCTTGGCCATTTCCAGATTTATTATGCACTTAGTTTAACTGAAATCCGTGACGAATTCATGAGGGTCTCAGGAAACTACATATGCTGCTGTTCCTAGAGAGACAGTACAGGGAGGAAAGTGATTTTCTTGCAAGCAGCGCACGTGGGTTAAATCCTCGGCTTCCCATGTCATTCCCGAGCTCCACCAGCGGTGATTTCTGAATAGAGAGTCAGGAGTCACCCCAGAGCATTGCCAAGGGAGACCCCAAAAAGACAAAAACCAACAACATACTGTGCTGATCAACCCAGTGTCGGCCATCCAGAAGGCCCGGTCTAGAGTATTAGTGGAATTTTCTTGCGTCTTACCTCTCGAATAACTAGAAATATATGGCATTTTGGAAATGGACATACTGTTCATGCCATTCAGACATTTGCACAGTTATATCAGGAAAACATGGAGATTTACCTGTCACCTTTTCCATGTCATTTATCCATGCCTCTGTCTCTGTCGGGGCAGGGTACTCTGGGAGGAAGCCTATGGTGATCTCCTGGCTGGAAGGAGGAGCCCTGAGGTCGGGGAAGAGAGGCGGGTGTGCGGGTGAGTATCTGAGGACCCTTCCTGGCTCAGGCCCTGTGCAGTGTATGGGTGCCCTGAGCATGTATGAAACACGCAGCTGAGAACGGGACCTTGGTCTCCTGGATCCTTGGGTCTGTGCCGCACTCACGCTGCTCTTATTCCCCTGGACTGTCAGTCACAGAATGATCCTGTAATTTGCTTCCATGGCTTTCGAATAAGTATACCATAATAGAGCTAGTTTGGATCTGAATGATAGTACAGCAGGGACTGCCTTGCCCGAAAGTGACCTGTTCAATAATTGTTCAATAACCTGGTTCCCCGAATATTACCAGGTCTGCTCAAAAACAAAACCTAGTGTAGAATTGCCAAAATCCTCACAGTTTTCCACTATCCAAATCTTTTCTTTAGTGTGGGACTCTTTGGGCTTTGAGAACCACAGAGATGTACTCTTAAATATATGGCATCATTTTGCTACATTTTTGACAAGTGCTTGAATTGTATGTTTTGTTCAGTTTCAGAACTGAAACCACAACTTCAGGATTTGGCATTACAGAACTTTGATTTCGGAATGGGGTCCGCAAGTACGAGTGAGTTGGTAAGATTCGCTAATTGAGAATAAATATTATTATGCCAGCAGGAGTGGACCAAGTATGTGATTGTTAAGGTGGAAGGATGAGAATGGCAGGGAGGAATTCCAAAGCCTGATGCTTGGAGTAGAGGACCCTTAGGTTTATTTCGTGCTGAAATAAACCATGCAGAAAAATACTGTGAGTTTTGATTAGCTTGACAGTGGTAGTTGTTTAGAAAGCTAATTTGTTCGTCCTAGAGATGGTGCAGTGAGAAATATACTTGCTTTGCACAGGGATGGACGGTCCTTACCCAGCACGCCTTATAGACACCATAGACCCACAGAACTCATCCTAGTCACTGCATGGTGTGCCCCTCCACCCACACAACCACCAATAAATAGAAATTACAAAAGATAAAGAACAAAAAATGTCATTGATCCTGAAAGGCATCACTTGTGGTGAGAGCTTTGCAATGGCCACGTGGTCTGTCTCAGCGGTGTGACGATGCAGTGTTGTCTTCACCCCTGCATCACAGGTTCCACATTAAGCCTTAACAAAACCCACATGAGGTTGTATTTCATTTTCTCTTGAAATGGATGCGTCCGTTTTCTATAGAAGGAATTGTTTCCAGTTGTATTCCTTCATTAATTTAAAGGGGGGGAAGTCACAGCATTTACTGACTCTGCATCCATCAATTTTGTGAGTCCAACTTACAGTAAAATGAAGTTATTCTGTACTAAGACAATTCATATGTCGGTAATTGCATTTGTGTGGTGCATATGTGTGAAACCACATCTGAAGGGCTCAGTTTTTTGACAGGAAGTCTCAGTGAATAAGTCAATAATTAGAATCCTCTGTTGTTCTACAGGAAAGCTGCCACCCAGAGTGGAATGTCTCTGATCCTGCACTGTATGACAATGTCTCCAGTGAGCAATCCTGCCCTCAGCCCCATGAGGACTCTGAGACAGGCGGGATGTCTTCTGAGGGTGATCAGAATGGCGAGAGCTACCTCTATCAGAAGAAGTCCTCTCCTGTAAAAAGTTCCATGGAGTGTGTTATTCTCAGTTCACAGGGACAAACTCCCCCAGTGCGGCAGCTGCTAGGGAGAGGAGCACTGTTTATAGTGAGTTCCTCACAGCAACATACCCTCAACCACAGTCCCGGTGAGCAGAACCCATCTACGTGTAAGGAATGTGGGGGAGCCTCCCCATGTTCTCAGCACGGTGGTGTTCCCTTAGAAAACCACAGTGGACAGAATCCCCAGAAAAGTCAGTCCCGAGAACAAAGTATGAGTCAAGGGTTACTCCATAATGACCATGTGATTATAAATTCAGGAGCGAAACCTTTTGAATGTGAAGCATGTGGGAAGGCCTTCGATCAAGCATCACATCTTATTATGCATAGGAGAATTCATACAGGAGAGAAACCTCATCAATGTTAGACATGTGGGAAGGCCTTTATTCACATGTCCAGTCTTAATAGACATATGAAAACTCAGAGTGGAGAGAAGCCTTATATATGTCAGGAGTGTGATAGTGCCTTTACTCAATCCTCAGGCCTCAGTATACATAGGAGAATTCACACTGGAGAGAAACCATATAAATGTAAGGAGTGTGGAAAGACCTTTACTCAATCCTCAGGCCTCAGTACACATAGGAGAATTCACACTGGAGAGAAACCACATATATGTAAGGAATGTGGGAAGGCCTTTGTTGAACCCTCAAAACTTCTTGTACATAGGAGAATTCACACTGAAGAGAAACCACATGTATGTAAGGAATGTGGAAAGGCCTTTGCTGTAGCCTCAAGGCTTAGTGTACATAGGAAAATTCACACTGGAGTGAAATCATACATATGTAATGAGTGTGGAAAGGCCTTTGCTAGAGCCTCAAAACTTACGATACATAGTAGAATTCATACTGGAGAGAAACCGTATATATGTCAGGAATGTGGGAAGGCCTTTGCTACATCTTCAAGACTTAGTAAACATAGGAATATTCACACTGGAGACAGACCATATGTATGTAAGGAATGTGGCAAGGCCTTTGCTGTAGCCTCAAATCTTAGTGAACATAGGAAAATTCACACTGGGGAGAAACCATATATATGTCAGGAATGTGGGAAGGCCTTTGCTAGAGCCTCAAATCTTACTGTACATAGGAGAATTCACACTGGAGAGAAACCGTATTTATGTAAGGAATGTGGGAAGGCCTTTGCTGTAGCCTCAACACTTCGTGTACATAGGAGAATTCACACTGGAGAGAAACCATATATATGTAAGGAATGTGGGAAGGCCTTTGCTGGAGCCTCAACACTTAGTGCACATAGGAAAATTCATCTCAGAGAGAAACCTAATCAGTGTCAGACATGTGGGAAGGAATTCCCACGGTTCTCTTCCCTTAGTCTACACATGAGAATTCACACTGTAGAGAAGCCTTAGAAATATCTGGAGTGTGGAATGGCCTTTACTTCATCTTAACAATTGACTGTACATAGAAGAATTGGTATAGTGGAGAGAAACCATATATATGTAAGGAATGTGGGAAGGCCTTTGCTACAGCCTCAAATATTAGTATACATAGGCAAATTCACACTTGAGAGAAACTGTATGTGTAAGGAATGTGGAAAGGCCTATGTATGGCCTTAATACTTAATGTACATAGGAGATTACATACTGGAGAGAAACCATATACATGTAAGAAATGTGGAAAGGCCTTATGAAGCCTCAGATTTAGTGTGCATAGGGGCATTCCTGCCAGAGAAAAACCTTATATATGCGAGGAATGTGGGAAGGCCTTCTGCCTTTCTAAGCAGAGAAAAATTCACAGTGGAGAGAAACCTTATCAGTGTCAGACTTGTGGGAAGGCCTTCATTTGGTGCTATTGTCTTACTCATTATGTGAGAATTCATACTGTAGACAAACTGCATATATGTCAGGAATGTTGGAAGGGCTTCATGTACCCCTCACACCTTAATAACATAAGAGTTCATATTGGATGATTTTATCCTTTAATAACAGTCTCTAAGGACAGAACAGGACAAGTCAGTCAAGCAATTTTCCTTTAGACACTATGGTCAAGGGTGTTAAAAAAGTGCAGTTAAGAGGGAAGTAAGCCTGCCTGCTCGGAACAGGCTTCTCATGTCATTGAAAGGTACCTGCTGATTTTTACCCGGGCTGCACCTATGCCAGTTTTCTAGTGCTTGGAATTGCTTGTGTGTTAACTTGTAAATAATGGGTCCTGGTGATGAAAATAAGGAGGAAGGTGACTGAATAAACAGGTACAGAAACATCACCCTGCTCAGAGCTGTTATGGCTCACTACTCTGTTATTGTTTGCTATGCTTCTGGCTTGGCTCAGAGGGGCTGGTTAGCGGGAGTTATGGGAGAAATCAACCAAGATGCAGCATTGAATACTTTGAAAATGGAAAAACAGGTAAACCTTCATTCTTCAGTCTTTCTTGTGTTAGGTTTTGGCATGCTTGAGCCCCCTGAAAATCCCGGTTTGGGAACATGAGCGGCAGGTCACGCCAGCTTGTAGGGCACTTTCACACTTTTTTTACTTGTTCCGGACATGCAGGCTTTAGAGGATGTGGAGCATTTAAGGGGTGCATTGTAGCTGTTCTGTGGCGCAAGTGTCATGGGTGAGGGTGCGTTATCCTGAGGTCCCGTGCAGCCACGATTGCATCCAGGTCCAAGATGGTGCTGGAGGGTGGTCACATGGATTTCAGGCCTTGGGGTGAGGAGCCTGAAGAGAGTGGGGGTCTTGACCATCTCATTCCTCCCTACTCGAGACTCTGCAGGACTCTGTTTGGAGGCTTTGGACTAGACATAACACTTATTGAAACTCCAGATATGTTCACGGGCAGTCCACAAAGGAAAGGGACACTTTTGCGGTTGGTCATTTTCATTGGCTTCTATGCTGGGGTTTGGACAAGTGAGAGGTATTTGCCTCTGAAAATTTACTCTTTGGATTATTTTTTTTTCTTTTTGGGTCACACCCAGCGTTGCACATGGGGTTACTCCTGGCTTATGCACTCAGGAATTACTCCTGGTAAAGCTAAGGGGACCATATTGTTGCTGGGATTCAAGCCCGGGAAGGTCACGTGCAAGTCAAACAACTCACCCACTCTGCTATCACTTCAGCCCCTCTTTGGATTAATTTTAATACCTTTTTAATTTAGGGGAGTTGGAAGGGATTCTTTGATGCTCAGGGTTACTTCTGGTTCTGCAGCTCAGGATTTATTCTGTGGTGTTTCTGGGTTCCTATGGGATGGGGACGTTTGACCTGGATCAGCAATGCACGCTCGAGCAATCGACGAAAAACGGGAGGGCCTTACCTTTACCTCTATCTTTACCTTTACCATCAAGGCAATCATCCTACTCACTTTACAGTGAGTCCAACCCCACTATTGGTGTTTTTTTCCATATATAGAATTTCTACTTTCTGCGTGTATGGTACCCCCAGCAGGTCAATCTGTGCCTGTAAGGTGAGTGCATGAGCTGCCTGATGGCACCGGCAGACTTCCAGATATTCCAAAATTGATGCTGTGCCTTTGGCCAGACAACAAAACCTTTGGGCAAAGTCTTCCAAGAAAGTAAACGGCCAAAAATTAGGTATGTGCGTGACACACCAACAAACCATTTCCGGCTCAGCTATATAATTGGAGGCCAGGTCTCTCTGGTTCCTGATCAAACTGCTTAAGGGCTATGATCCCAGAGACTCAGAGACAAATCTTGGAACCAGAAACTTTTTTGCAAAGATGCTCCCGGTTCCCGCAATGAGCTTCCAGTGACAGACCACCACAAGGGAGAAAGGGTGTATATCTCCGCCTGATCCCACTTGGTGGCTCAGTGGCCACCATCTTCCATAGGCCATTGGACAGACAGATTTGGGCCTGCAGTGATAATACATGCAGGGCCTCATGGGATTTGGGTGGACTCTGCCCTTTCCTCCCCACCTCAATGAGACCCCGAGTTGCAGCCCATGTACGGACTCTCTGGCTCTTGATCACTTGGCCATGATCCCAGAGTCTCAGTAACAAATCTCAGAACCCAGCGGCTTGCAACAGAAATGTGTCTCGTCCCCACAGTAGGTTACCAAAGCTGGGTATTTCAGGTGGCAATAGGTTTTGTGCCTGGCGGCTCAGTGGTCACCATTTCTTATGGCTTCTGGATTGTTAGGTTTGGGACTGCTGTGAGGAGACATGCAGGGCCTAACTGGATGGTGGTGGAGCCGGCCCTTTTCTCCCCACCCTAACGAAACCCCGAGTTGTCTGGCACCTATGATTGACCTCTGTGGCTCGTGATCAAGGTGCCTAATTGCTATCATCCCAGAGATTCAGAGACAAATCTCGAAACCCAGCGCCTTTTAGGAGAAATGCATCTGGACCCTGCAGTAGGTTACTGTCCGTGGTCCACCCCAGGGGGAATTGATACTATCCCCCCAACTGCTCCCACTTGGTGGCTTGGTGGCCTCCATCCTCGAAAGGGATTTTGAAAGTCAGGTTTGGGCCCACAGTCAGGAAGATACATGGGTCCTCTCAGGATGGGGTGGAGCCGGCCAATTCCTCCCCACCTCAACATGAGCTTATGTCATTCCCACGAACCACCTCTCTGGCTCGTGGTAAAGCTATTTAATGGCCATAGTCCCAGAGACTCAGGAACAAATCTCGGAGCCCAGCAGGTTTTGTCAGAAATCCCTCCAGATTTAGTTGTTAAAAGTTCAGAATTCCAAAATCATATGTTATTTTTAACCAGTAATCGAAAAAGAATTGTCTACTGTTGCATTTTCGCCAGATCTGAGTGCTGGTGTAAAATCCCAAATAATAATGGTGGGTCTCGTGTCAAAATATTGAATGTAATCAAAGTAGAGAGAAGAATGTGGAAATTATCTGCCCCACAGTTAGGGGGAGTCCTTGGAATGGCAGTATATTTGGGTTTTTAGTGGTGGGAAATGGGCACGGTGAAGGGACGGGTGTTTCATTGTATGACTGAGAATTATACCTGAAAGCTTTGTAATTGCTCTCCCATTTTTTCCCCTTTTCTCACATTTATTTAGAAATCTCCAGAGTAATTGTAGGGCAAGTAGGATTCTTGCGTTGCTTGTGGCCAACCCAGGAGTCCTCCAATCGACAACATCTTTGAGTTGCTCATTGGACATTGAGTATCCCCTTCTCATCCCTAGAACATGTGATGTGGAGGTGTGGCATGGGGTAGGGGTGTCTTCTCCCCGGAGCTGTTCATTTCGGATAGATACTGTGTTTTGCTTTCTTGACTTTGTTGTCATTCTTCCTTACCTGTCAGGTATGTCAAGTAGTCCTTGTGTTCCCGGCTGTATAACTAGCTTGACTGTACACCTAAAGGGTCGGGTGCCCTTTCTGGACTTCACTCAGTCAATCTGACACCTTGCATATCTTTGCCTTTGGATCATTGCCATGGTTTTTTGAATATGGGAATAAATTTAGTTTTCTTTTGTTTTGGGGCCTGGGCATGCTCAGCAGATATTCCTGGTGGTTCTCATAAGTTGCTTTTGACAGTGTTCAAGGATCACCCCCTGTCAGCCTCATGCAAGGCAAATGCCTACCTGCTGTACGCTTGTACACACCAAAATTGTTTTATTGTGTGTATGTTAAATTGTGACTGTGATCCCATCGTGAAGCTAATTCGAATCAGAAGGGCAGTGCATCACGGAGGGTGCTCGCCTTACAGATGCCACCTACCTTCGATGTCCAGCATCCCCTATGGTATCCCAAGCATCACTGGGTCTGATTAAAAACAAAACCCAAAAGGCTTTTTGGGGGATTGCCGAGCTCCTCCCAGAAACACTTCCCACAGACTTTCCCTTTCTGTAGGATTGCTTGGACTGTGAGAACTGTGGAGATGTCCTCCACCTGTTTGGTCATTCAACTGCATTCCATTCAACGTTGGACTAATTCTCATTGTGCATTTTGTTTGATTTCAGAACTCAAATCACAGGTTCAGGATGTGGCATTACAGCAATTCCTTTAGGGAACAGGGGTATTGCATACAAGTGTACTGTAAGATTCTGTTGTTGAAACTAAATATTATGCCATTGGAGTGCCCAGTGTACCAAGCATGGGACTTGAAAGGTGGGGTGCGGCTCCATCCCCACAACCACATCTATGGTCTCAGCATCACAGGAAAAATATCGGAGCCTAATGCCTGGACTAGAGGGTCTTTAACCTCAGTGGGTGCTGAAATCTGAAAATTTATTTTATTGTATTGTTTTTTAAAGTTTTCATTAAAGTGCCAGTATTTTCAAAGTTATTGATATTTGTGTATAGGTGTACAATAATTGAACACCGATCCCGGCATCAGCTTCCCTCC